GGTTCTTAGGGAGGGTATCATATTTTCAATATGAGAAATCATGGGTAACATATCATGGAGATAAGATTCCATCCACAAGTGAACAGAGTTTGTTGGGAAAATGGAAGAAGGTAATAGTAAGGAGAGGCTTCCTTTTGTACTTTTTAAATATAAAACTAGACAGAAATGGACTGATGTGTTGGCTTCGAGCTTTATTCCTGAGGGGATTAGGTTGGAGTAATTTCCGTATTTCCGTTAGAGGATTCTTGTGTGGATCATGTAGACTATATTATTATGGAGTACTTGGGAAATGGATGATACGTGCACACACTGGCTTCCAGTGATATAGGTCCTTTGATTCGGTATTGGGCATAAGGTGGGCTTTGGAATCATGGCTGATGAAGTTTTCTTTACATCTATCAAATACCTCTCGCTTCCAGTGATATGGGTCCTTTGTGGATCCGGTTGGCAGGAGCGGGGGTCTCGCTCTTTTCTACAATAATGAGCATCAGGTGCAGATTTTATACTCAAGTAATCGGATGATTGATGTTGAAGCTATGGTGATTGGGAAAAAGGCCTTTTTAACTTTCGTATACGGAGATCCGGTACAAGACCTCCGGGAACAAGTATGGGAACGATTAACTCGTTATGGTCTAGCAAGATCGGAACCATGTTTTATTATTGGTGACTTAAATGAGATTACCGGAAGTCATGAAAAAGAAGGTGGAGCGTTAAGAAGTTTGGCTTCTTTTGTCCCTTTTAATAATATGATTCGCAATAGTGGTTTAATTGAGTTCCCAGCTCGAGGAAATAAAATTTCATGCCAAGGGCGTAGAGGGAAAGGGAAAGAGGCAATGATGATAAGATGCCGTCTTGACCGAGCACTAGCAAATGAAGAATGGCACACATTATTCCCCTGTTCCTATACAGAATACTTGGGAATGGTTGGGTCGGATCATCGTCCAGTTGTAGCATATATGGAGGATAAAATTTATAAAAGAAGGGGACAATTTCGGTTTGACATGAGATGGATTGGGCAGGAGGGTTTTATGGAATCAATTATTGCTGGCTGGACGGAAGACAATAATAGACAGGGGGATGGCTTGGTCGAGAAAATTAGTAATTTCCGGCATGAGATAACAAGTTGGAGGAAAAATAATCCATAAATTCAAGACCTACAAAGGGCTCTTGAAGAGGTACAGATGAATGACAATCGAACACAGGAGGATATTTTAGAAGTGTCTAGGAAATTACAAGATGCATATAAGGATGAGGAGGATTACTGGTATCAAAAGAGTAGAAATAGTTGGTATTCCTCGGGAGATTTAAATACAAAATTTTATCATGCTCTAACGAAACAAAGGCGTGTGCGTAACAGGATTGTGGGGCTCCATGATGACGCTGGAAATTGGATAACAGAGGAAAATGGGGTTGAACAAGTGGCAGTGGACTATTTTGAGGAGTTATTTACTTCCACTTCCCCATCTCGTTTTGATAGCTTTCTGGAGGAGGTACCTTCCAATATCACAACATAAATGAATCGAAGGTTGTTGAGAATGGCCACCGAAGAGGAAGTTAGACAAGCTTTATTTATGATGCACCGAGAGAAGGCACCAGGACCTGATGGAATGACGGCCCTGTTTTTCCAGCACTCCTGGCACATTATTAAAAAGGATTTGGTAGAGATGGTAAATAATTTTTTGGTCTCAGGAAATTTGGATTCACGGTTAAATATTACTCATATCTGTATGATTTCTAAGACGAAGAGACCCACAAGGATGACAGAGCTCAGACCGATAAGTCTTTGTAATGTTGGATATAAGATCATCTCAAAAGTCTTATGTCAACGGCTGAAAAGTTGTTTACCCAAGTTAATATCGGAAACCCAATCGGCTTTTGTTCCAGGGAGGCTGATCTCGGATAATATTTTAATTGCTTAAGAGATGTTTCATGGCTTACGTGCCAACAAAATCTTGCTAGGGGAAATTTATGGTGATAAAAACAGATATGAGTAAAGCATATGATCGGGTGGAATGGGATTTTATTCAAGCTTTGCTACATAAGATGGGTTTCGACCCTCATTGGACAAAGCTTATGATGGAATGTATATCGTCTGTCCAGTATCGGGTTTTGATTAATGGGCAACCTAAGGGATCCATTATCCCGTCAAGAGGATTACGACAAGGGGATCCTTTGTCTCCTTATCTCTTTATTATGTGTACAGAAGCCTTAATTACTAATATTAAAAAAGCATAACGACAAAACCGTTTGACAGAAATGAAGGTTGCTAGAGCATGCCCAGCGATTTCTCATCTGCTTTTTGCGGATGATAGTCTTTTCTTCTGCAGAGCGCAATCGGAGGATGTCATACTATACTATCCATACTAAAGGAATATGAGGTTGTTTCAGGTCAATTAATAAATTTCCAGAAGTCTTCAATTCAGTTTGGTCATAGGATTGGGGAAGAGATTTGATAAGAGCTAAGGGATATACTAGGAATACAGAATATTGAAGGCATGGGAACATATCTTGGTTTACCAGAAGCCTTGGGTGGATCTAAGATACAAGTTTTTGGATTTGTTCAGGAAAGGTTAAATAAAAGAGTCAATGGATGGACATTTCGGTTCTTTACGAAGGGAGGGAAAGAAGTAATTATTAAATCTATGGTTACGGCATTGCCAAACCATGTGGTGTCCTGTTACAGACTACCTAAGGCAACCACAAAGAAGTTAACGAGCGCTGTAGCACAATTTTGGTGGAGTTTTGGGGGAAGTACAAGAGGAATGCACTGGAAATCTTGGGATAAATTATGCCTTGATAAGGATGCAGGAGGTTTGGGTTATAAGGATCTCGAAGATTTCAACACGGGAATGCTAGGCAAACAACTATGGCGCCTCATTGAGAAACCAACTACTTTGTTCTCTCGTGTCTTCAAAGGTCGGTACTATAGGAATGCATCACCTCTAGAATCGATACGATCATATTCCCCGTCATATGGCTGCAGGAGTATGATCTCTGCTAGATCTCTGGTTAGCAAAGGACTCATCAAACAGGTGGGAACAGGATCCTCTATATCAGTATGGAATGATCCATGGCTCCCAGCCACTCGCTCGAGACCAGCAAACAAAAATCATCAAAAAATTTCTCTGAATCTTACAGTGGACGCTCTTATTAACACAGATACGAGGACTTGGGATATACCGGTTATTCAGGGTTTGGTTGATCCCCGGGATGCAAAAATAATAGCAAGCATTCCACTTAGCAGGATACAGATGGAAGATAGGGAGGGATGGCATTTCACCAAGAACGGAAAATACACAGTTAAGTCTGGATATCAAGTTGAATGGGTGTACCCAGATAAAGGAACGCCAATACAGATTCAGGGCCCCATAGTGGATGCCTTAAAACCATTCTGCTGGAAGATATGGTGTCCTCCTAAGATAAAACATTTCCTATGGCAACAGCTATCAGGTTGTATAGCAGTTAAGATAAATCTCCAGGCAAGAGGGATAAAGGGAGATACATGTTGTGATAGATGTGGTGCAGAAGAAGAAACGGTTAATCATATTTTCTTTGAATGTCCACCAGTGCACCAAGTTTTTGCATTGTCAAATATACCTTTGAACCCAGTCACTTTCCCTACAAGGTCTCTGTTTACAAATATGGACCACTTATTTTGATGGGTTATTCCTAAGATGGACGATCATCATTTTGCATGGATCTTGTGGTATCTGTGGAAAGGGAGAAATAGCAAAACTTTTAGTAATTTGGATGTAGATCCGAAAGACACACTCACTCTAGCAGAGACAGAATCCACGCTGTGGGAGGAGGCCCAAATAAAAGTAAATCAGAGTGAACCACAGGCTGGGGGAGTAGCGGCAGTTCCATCTATATCAGGTCGCTGGTGTTTTAGTGATGGTTCATGGAAAGATAAGGATGTCTTTGACGGACAGGGTTGTTATAGCACCCTTGAAGGTTTTGTGGGTTTAATGGGGGCAAGAAATGTTAGAGCCAGCTTATCACCTCTACATTCTGAGGTGGAAGCATTGATTTGGGCAATGGAGAGTATGAAGATTTTGCGTCAATATCATGTTACGTTTGCAACAGATTGTTCTCAATTGGTGAAAATGGTTTTAGAACCAGAAGAATGGCCAGCCTTTGCAAATTATCTGGAAGATATCAAGATGCTTAAAAGGAGTTTTCATAGCTCGGCAATCATCTATGTACCAAGGACACTGAATACAAGGGTGGATAATCTAGCACGCTGTGCGAGAAAACAATCGTCTTTTGTTGTTCACATGGATACAGAACTACCGATTTGGTTCGCAAAGTCAATATGAGTCTTTTGTTTGATGTCAAAAAAAAAAATATATATATATATTTAAAAGGATATGAAAATTAACTCAAAAGTTAAGAGACAAAGACAGATTTTTAAAATCTTATTCTGAACTTTATGTTTTCTATGATAAAAACAAATAAATTAGTTTTAAATTTACCAACAAAAATGAGTGATTATTATTATACATAAATGGGCTTATATTTATTATGAACCCAAATTTAGCTATTTATAATTGGTTTCCATGAACCCATTAAATCTTATCATTTTGGTTTTAGTGTATTTTAATTTATGTGGGGTCAGAGATAATATTTTTATGGGGTCATCACATTACTTATCTAAAAAATACATATATTTTTCAAAATGAAGTGGGGTTAGCTGACCCCCCCCCCAACCTCCTTCTTACATCCGCCCTTGTCAGTACGGTTCTAAATGTTTTAGATCGAAGAAAATAAATGAGAATGGATATAATGTCTTGCAACTGTATATCGGCCTATACTATACTATCCAAGTTGTTCAACAGTAGTAAGTAAGAAGGAAATGAAAAAGACTATGTCCTCAAAGCCAAGCTCAGCTTAAGATTTAGCTTGTTAACTATTATGATGTCAACTTAACATTTTACCCAAAAAACCATTATCATGATTGTTCATAAACAATATTTTTATAATACCATAAAACATATAAACTATAACTCTAAGGATAGATCTAATCCAACTCCAAGAAAATCAAAGAAAGGAACATCTCTCTTTTCACCATGATCTATCACGGATGTTCCATCTTCTCCTGATGAGTTCTTCTCATGATCTGGTGTAGCTGCCTGATGATTTGACTTTCCCCTCTCAAGATCAAGTTCATGGTGTACATTAGATCCTAACTGATCACTCCTAGGTGCTGAAGCAGAAGTGTAAGGCCAGGGACCGCGACTGTTGTCCATCTGATACCTCTGAAACGGGTATAGGTAATAACTTAGCCTTGGAAGAGTAAAGTAATGGCTCCAGATTTGGTTGAACGGAGAAGTGGGCGTTGAAGATAAGACTTTACGTTTGCATCTAGCCATGGTGACATGGTAATGGTTCCTGACAACGCTATCAGTCCTCCCAGGGAACAGCTTGGCTATGACAGCCCAACGATTCCCATGGATCCGATGAGCTACCAAAAGCATCTCTTCTTCCTCCTTCGTGAAAGGTCCCTTGTTGATGTTTGGAGCAAGTTGATTGTACCATCGTTCTCTACAGATTTTCCCTATGAATCCATATCACTCAAATTATCTATGAAGACACATTGATCTAATACAAATGGATTCTTTTATGTGTACAAAATATGAGAAAGATTAATCTATAAATAATTAAATATATATACCTGTTCTTCCAGAGAAATGTAGACCAATGATGTTCCATTTCTGGGGACCAATTTGTTCCACGAGTTGCTTGAGTTTGTCGTCTTCCGAACGTGTCCAGTGAACTTTCTGACCATGGGTCTTCTTATTGTCAAAACCGTTGCTTCCTCTAGACATTTTCATGGTTGCTATCTTCATATCCACCTACATAAAACTGAACAAATGGTGAAGAAAGATGGATAAGATAAATTAGTCTAAGGTGAAATGATTTTATAAGGATCAAAATCAAAACAAAAAAGGAAAATATATCAACGCTACACTAACACAAATGTCTCTCCGGAAACTGACGCATACACTTTTAAAAGTTTTCAAACAATTGACACGTTAATAAATTTATTGAAAAAACTAGGAAACAAATAATACTATAACATTTTATTTGTATATATATTGACTTTAATCAAGTTTACATGTCAGATTTATGGTGTTAGTTATTCCTGAGCACTTAAACTTGTAAAAATTTCATGTTTCTCTCTCTTCGTCTTCGAAATTCTAATATATTCTCACTCTATTCTAGGAAGTAAACTTTTCTAGATTTGTTTTTGTTTTTTCTATATTTTAAAGAACATTACAAACGAATATATACTTAAATATCATTGGTTAATAAGTATTAAAAGTATATAATAAAATAAATAAAACATTTATTGTAGACATTGGTTGTATCTTCTTAATATGTGTGAATACTTTAGAAAATAAATTCTTTGGAAATGGAGAGTATATATTTGGCTCTCAAGTTATAACGTTGGATCTCCTCCTCTGTTTGATGACATGTCAAATTATGAAAATGTCGAATGGAAGTTTAAATTCATACAGCAGATTCCAGGTCATCAGTGTTGGGATCAAAATCGGTCACCACGGAGCCAATGTCGGAAAGTCTAGGATAAATGCTTATTACGGAAGTAATTTTGCGAAAAAATTTTGAAACAATCTTACTCGAGATCACGAAAGTTAAGTGTCATTTGACCGAGAACAAATAAAAAGGATCAGCCAAGACGACGAAACTGGTTAATCATCCAACCTGGTCGCCATATGGCGACCTGTCCACGCACGGGTCGGTCGCCATATGGCGACCAGCTGGTCCTCCAACCTGGTCGTCATATGGCGACCGGTCCATTCATGAACCGGTTGCCATATGGCGATCGAAATGATATGCACCGATACATTCTCGTTTTGTCTTCGATGCTCTCCTTTACGCTATATTTCCATACAGTATTTCATTTCGCCTTAATTGAAGTTTTCGTTAAAACATTACGATAAAAACCGCGGAAACTTGTTTCATCGTATAAATTTCCGATCGTTCGTTTGGACTGGCGATGGTTAACTCTAATCTCTAATCTCCCTGGTACACGAACGATCCGGACTTTTATTAAACCAACGTCGTATTGAGGTTGATTTACCAAAAAAAAAATCGTAAAAACGGATAAAGCCGAAAGACAAACCAAAGAGGTCTAAACGCAGCTAAAAGCCCATTTAGACTTTATACTGGAATCAGCCCGTAAACGTTATGACGGTATACCTTTAATTCGCAGAAAAGGATAAATGTTAAGTTTCCGAAGATAAATGTCAAGTTTCAAGGATAATCACGAAGATTGGGGAAAAATGGAATACTTCCGCAAAAGGATAAGCATGGGCCTGGAGGCAAGAGGAAGGGCTGAACCGACCTAAGGAGGAAAATATAAGAGGATTCAAGACGAGAGAACAAGAGGATCCTCAGATTCACAGCAAACTTAGTACTTAGAGTGATTAGGCATCTTTCCATTTTTGTTATCGAGCTGCGACTCAACTAGGGTTTTTGCAGTCTTAGGTTGTTTGATCTAGGAAATTCTGCCAACATCTCTTGCAGCCAAGGCTCTTACCTGGTTGTAATGCTCTTACACACATTCAAAATAAGATATAACACCCTAAGACTGCTAAAACCTTAATTTCACAACTCGATAACAAGAACAGAAAGTTATATATTGCTCTAAGTGCTAAGTTTTTCTAAGTGTAAAAGCCTCCTCTTGTCCCTTGTCTCGACCTCTTCTTTATTACTCCTCTTCTTGACGGTTTAGACGTTCTTTTTTTGCCCCCAAGTCGAGTTTATTTATATCTAGGAAACCTTCCATTTTTCTCGATCTTCGTGATTATCCTTAGACAATTTTCATTTATCTTCAAGACCTGACATTTATCTTCTGCTGCGGAAAATAAGTAAACCGTCATGATATCTTTGGGATGGACTTTGTTAAAAATCATAAGTGGGCTTCTTCTACGTTTTAGGACCTTTCGGACTGTTTTGGGATTTTAAGCATTTTTACTACTTTTAAAGAGATCGACTAGCAGTCTAGGTGTTACGATAACCGTTGCTGTTTTATACAATTAACTCGAACTCATACGAGAAAACAAATCTTCACGGTAAAGTTCCAGCGGTAACTCTGATCGAGATAAAACGAGAGACGGTTCGACCATGGTTCAGAGTATGATCGAGTCCAATGGTTCTGGTGTGGTGTCCTACTTATCAACGGGCGAGTTGGATGTCACGCCCCAACTCACCCGGTGGCGAGTTGGACATTGTGTTCAACTCGCCCGGTGGTGATTTGGACAGTGCGTCCTCACTCGGATGGTGAGTCAGTAGTTGTGTATCTAACTGCTTGTTATAGATCGTTGGTCTTTCGATTGTACGATCTTTGAGTTCAGAAGTACTTGTTCGGGGGATAGGGGATCATCTTGACGCGTACTTCCTCTTTTTTAAATCGTATAAAGTTTTTTTAATTGTTTTGTACTTCTTTACGCGTCTTTCGTAACTTTGTTTCTTTGCAGAGTTTTCCGATATTTTTTCTGGAGGCTTATAGTTGTTGATTCCGTCGTAACCGACTTTGACCCCAACAAGCAAACTCGTGTCAATCAACGCGTCCACGCCAACGTTACCAACACTCCAGCAGAACGTATCCGCTGTTAACACAGATGCTAATACTGCAACGTTCTTTTAGAGAATACAAAAGAATTATAAATACTAAACTTTGATAGCGCTATTACTCCAAAAGTCATCCCAAATTCCAAAAAGAAAAATGAACCGTTTCATAATTTTTATGTCAGTTAGTATTATGTGTTTTGAACATTTTGAGTTGGAAGAATTTTTTTTCCCTGCAAGGGAGAAAATATTATAATTATCGAGAATGGACTGGGTCCAGCTAATGTTCTCAATGTACGTTGCTATGATGGAAAAAAAAAGAATTATTCGTACGAAAAGAATCGACAACCAAGGAAAGTGTACACATGTCTCCTGAGGCATCGGCCTAAATTAGAGAATTTTCATGACATTTGTTGGATAAGCTTGAAATTGAGTTTATCTATAAGTCCTAAATATTTAGGAGTTATCTAAATATCCTATGTTTAGAAGGATTAGGACTTAGAGTTATATATATAGAGATGTCAAAGTGTGGCATCATATTGATACTAGAGGCTTTAGTTTTGAGAGGATTTTCTAAGGCATTGAGTTATTAATAAGAGAGCAAATTCTTATTAAAGTTTGAGTTCATTACAAAGTTTGGTCTACACGGGGTATCAGAGCTTGAAGGTTTGTGATCCTACTTAGAAGACATGGGAGATCTAGTAACGTTTTCAGCGAAACCAAAGGAACCAGGATCTTTCTCGGCAACATGTCCTATGCTAAATTCAACAAATTATACTGTATGGGCTATAAGAATAAAGCTCTTACCGCAATTACATAAAGTATGGGAAGCTGTCGAAGAAGACTCTAAAGATAGTGAGAAAAATATTGGAGCTATGACGTTATTATTCTCATCTATACCGGAGGCATTAGTGTTACAATTGGGAGAACTCGATACAGCAAAGAAGATTTGGAAAGCAATTAAGTCGAGGTATGTAGGAGCAGATAGAGTTCGTGATGCAAGGTTACGGACTCTCAACTTCAACTTTGACAGATTGACGATGAAAGATGATGAGAAAATAGACGATTTTGTGGGAAGAATAGCAGAGATATCATCAAAGTCAGCCGCTTTGGGAAAAACTATTGAAGAATCAAAACTAATCATGAAGTTTCTTGATGGTCTCCCTCAAAGAAGATACATACATATTGTTGCATCGATAGAACAATTCCTTGATCTAAGTACTGCAACATTCGAAGATGTTATTGGACGTATAAAGACCTATGAGGAGCGTACTTCACATGTTAAGAAGAAACTCAAAGTAATCAGAAGCTGCTACTTGCAAACTCGGAGACATCATCGACTAATACCTCACATCACGAAAATAATGGATACTATCGTGGTAAAGGAAGAAGTGGTGGTAGGTATTATAACAGAGGTAGGGGAAGAGGTAGATACAATGGATACAATGGACGTTATGGAGAAGTTGACCTATCAAAAATCATATGCTTCACGTGTGACAAGACTGGCCATTATGCATCTACTTGCCCTGACCGTCTGTTAAAGCTACATGAGACTACTGAAACAAAAGATAAGGAAGATGATACTACAGAGGCAGAGGAGCTAATGATGCACGAAGTTGTCTACTTGAATGAGAAGAAAGTCAACCCAAAAGATTCTGAGGATGTCTCAGATGATGTTTGGTATCTAGATAACGGTGCTAGCAATCATATGACCGGAAATAGAAGCTATTTTACAGAGATTAATGACGAGATCACCGGGAAAGTACGTTTTGGAGATAACTCTCGCATTGAGATAAAAGGAAAAGGTTCAATTTTATTCTCTAGTAAAGATGGAACCAAGAAGAAGATAGCTGATGTTTACTATATTCCGAAGCTAAGAAGTAACATCATTAGCCTTGGACAAGCTACAGAATGTGGGTGTGATGTTAGAATGAAGGATGATTATCTTATACTAAACGATAAGAATGGTAGACTTATAACAAAATCTCAGAGATCAAAGAATCGTTTATACAAGGTTAACATCAACATCATCAATCCTGTGTGTCTTCAAGCTGTAACTCTAAGTGACTCAGAGAGATGGCATGTGAGGTTAGGACACATAGGAAAGGACTCAATGAAGACAATGATCAAGAAAAAAATGGTTAGAGGGATACCAAACATTGAGATCGAAAGAGACACATGTGCCTCATGTTTGCTTGGTAAGCAAGCTAGACACTCTTTTCCACAAGCAACCACTTTCAGAGCAGAGAAGGCGCTTGATCTAATACACGGCAACCTATGTGGTCCTATCACACCACAGACACCATCAGGCAAGAGATACATCTTTGTTCTCATCGATGATTGCACGCGTTACATGTGGACTATCCTACTCAAAGAAAAAGGAGAAGCTTATGAGAAGTTCAAACATTTTAAAACAATGGTTGAAAAGGAAATAGGAACTACTATCAAGGTATTCAGAACAGACCGAGGGGGAGAGTTTGTTTCTAACGAGTTTCAGTGTTTTTGTGAAAGCAACGGCATCATCAGGCATTTAACAGCTCCTTATTCACCGCAACAGAACGGAGTAGTTGAGCGACGCAATAGGACTTTAATGGGAATGGTAAGAAGCATTCTGAAAGGTATGGGGTGTCCAAATTAATTTTGGGGTGAGGCTGTAAGACACTCTACTTACATCATTAACAGAGTTGGGACAAGAGTGCTAGAAGACAAAACTCCATATGAGGCGTTAAAATTGAGAAAGCCTAGTGTAGAACACATTCGTGTGTTCGGGTGTATCTGTTACGCCAAGATTGACACTCCACATCTTAAGAAGCTGGATGATAGGTCACTGATGTTAGTTCATCTCGGTACGGAGTCAGGAACAAAAGCTTACAGGTTATATAACCCTCTCAACCGAAGGATAGTTGTGAACAGAGATGTTATTTTTGATGAGAATAAAAGATGGAATTGGAGAGACGACTCTCAAGGTAGTGGAGGAACTTTTAGCATCATTTTTGGAACACATGGAAACAGAGGAATAAGTGGTGATGATACTGAAGAACCCACAGGAGCTGATCACAACAATGAACTTGTCGTACATGGAGATGAAGTTCTGCCAACTCCACTCGAACAAGAAACAGAAGATTTAGACGTTCCTGAAGAAGTTATGTTAAGGAGATCAACAAGAGAGAAGAAACTACCTGGATATTTAGATGATTATATACTCTTAGCAGAGCTCGATGGTGAGCGTCTTCTTCTAAGTTTTAATGATGAGCCATGGGACTACGAGGAAGCAAAAGGTCAGAAGGTTTGGTGTGACGCGTGTGATGATGAAATTGCTTCCATCGTTAAGAACAATATTTAGGATCTTGTTGACCTTCCTAATGGTGCTAAAGCTATTGGTTTGAAATGGGTATTCAAGGTTAAGAGGAACGCAGACGGTAGCATCAACAAGTTCAAAGCTAGACTTGTAGCAAAAGGTTACATTCAAAGGCATGGGATTGATTTTGATGAGGTTTTTGCTCCAGTGGCGCGTATTGAAACAGTGAGACTATTGATAGCAATGGCGGCATAAAGGGGCTGGCAGATTCACCATCTAGACGTGAAAACGGCTTTCCTCCACGGGGACTTAAAGGAGGAAGTGTTTGTTAGTCAACCACAAGGTTATGAGATAAAGGGACAAGAAGGCAAGGTATATAAGCTGCGAAAAGCACTCTATGGCCTACGACAAGCTCCACGAGCTTGGAACGAGAAGCTAAATAAAGTACTTGGAAGCTTGGGATTCTTAAAATGTGATAAAGAGCCTGCACTCTACCGGAAGTTAGAAGAAGAACACGTCCTACTAGTAGCAGTTTATGTGGATGACTTGCTAATAACAGGCACAAGTCTAGACCAGATAAGAGATTTCAAACGAGGGGATGGCAGAGAGTTTTGAGATGAGTGATCTTGGCAAGCTCACTTACTATCTTGGGATCGAGGTTGATCAAAGACCAGATGGGATTACACTAAAACAAGAAAGATATGCGATGAAGATACTATCTGAGGCTGGAATGAAAGACTGCAACATGGTGCATGTTCCAATGGATCCCGGCCTGAGCTTGTCGAAATCTATTGAGGAAAAGGGAGTGAATGAGAAAGAATACAGACGAAACATAGGTTGTCTCAGGTACTTGTTACACACGCGACCAGACCTATCCTATGTCGTCGGTATCCTTAGCAGATATATGCAATCACCAAAGGTCTATCATGAAGATGCGTTGAAGGTTGTACTACGTTATCTACAAGGAACTCTGGTTTATGGTCTACACTTCAAAAGAGCAAGTCGTGAAGAAGTAGTAGGGTACAGTGATGCCTCACATAATGTAGATGAAGATGACGGAAGGAGCACGACTGGACATGTGTTCTACTATGCTGAAAGTCCTATCACATGGAGCTCACATAAACAAGAAACAGTGGCATTATCTTCGTGTGAAGCAGAGTTCATGGCTGCTACTGATGCAGCTAAGCAAGCTATTTGGCTTAAGGATCTTTTGGAAGAGATAACCGAGACAAAAGACATGAAGGTACCAATTATGATTGACAACAAATCAGCCTTAGCTTTGACCAAAAATCCGGTGTTTCATGGGCGCAGAAAACACATTCATCGTCGCTATCACTTTATAAGAGAATGTGTTGAAAATGGGTTGATCGAGGTGCATCACATAGCTGGAACAAGACAGAGAGCTGATATATTAACCAAGGCATTGGGAAAACTGAAGTATAAAGAAATGAGAGAGATGATTGGAGTTGGAGATTTGTCAAAAGACAATTTCAAGCTTAAAGGGGAGATTGTTGGATAAGCTTGAAATTGAGTTTATCTATAAGTCCTAGATATTTAGGAGTTATCTAAATATCCTATGTTTAGAAGGATTAGGACTTAGAGTTATATATATAGAGATGTCAAAGTGTGGCATCCTATTGATATTAGAGGCTTTAGTTTTGAGAGGATTTTCTAAGGCATTGAGTTATTAATAAGAGAGCAAATTCTTATTAAAGTTTGAGTTCATTACAAAGTTTGTCTACAACATTCAAGTGTATAGAGGAGCCTCTGGTAGACGATGTATTGATGGGATTTATTTTAGGGTCTCTTTATTTTATGTGTAGAGAGTTACGTGAATGGACTCCTAAACTTGATGGGATTTATTTTATGAAAATGGTAAATTGCTGTGGGCACGTGCGCTTCCGTCGAATAAATATTAGTTAGATTTTGATACGCGCAGAAATTTTTTTATAATTAAAAATTTATATAATGAATTTTTTTAAATTTAAAGAATGTTTTGGTATAAAATCAGTTCACAAAAATTTGTAGTGATGATTGTTTTGCATTAGTTTCTAGTTTCAGTTTTTATTTTTAGATTTTGGTTTTTGGTTTTTGGTTTTTGGTTTTTAGTTTTTAAGTTTCTATTTTTGATTTTCAACTTTTGGTTTGGTTTTTTAATTTTTAGATCCGCTGAGTTTGTTTGAATTGATATTACCAACAAAAAAATCTCAAATAATCGAACATCTAATTTAAAACTGAAAAGATGACAAAGAATTTTTTTTTAAAAAGTTGCAACAGTTTATTTTGTAAATAAACAAAAGGAAAAAATATAACCGGCGTTTTCAGCTTTTGGTTTTGGATTTTAGTTTTTAGATTTGGTTTTTAGTTTTGCTTTACATTTATTTTTTTAAATTAGTAAATTTAAGAAAAATAAAATAATAATTATTTAAAAGTTAGCATTGAAATTTATCAAAACAAAGTGATTGTTATTTAAAATTAAAAATACATTAACATGTGTTAAAGTACATTATTTAAATAAATGATTAATAATAGATAATTTTATTTTTTTAATATTAAATATCTTTGGGCCTAAAAGTAATAATTGTTTTTTTATCCATTAAGGTGGAAAGTTGATTCAATGTATTTTTGAGTTTTTCTTTAATACTAAGCCCAAAAACCAAACAATATAATTTTTCCTAAAAACAAAAGTAAGCCCAAGATTAAATCCCATAAATAACCACCGGTTTAATTTAAGTAACGTGGTTCAATTAACTATATACGTGAAAACCTCAATAAATTAATACTCGATAAATTAATATTCTCTCTAAATTAATAAATTTTCCTGGTCCCAACTTGGGCGGTTCAAAATTTGACACAAATCGATAAAATAGTAAGATAATATTTTTTGAGAAAGTTCTATGTAAAGATATGATCCCATTAAAACTATAAATTAATAATTTTTTATTTATATATATTTTATATAAGTAAGAATCTATTATCATATTGTTTGTTTTATATCTACAATGGAATTTTCTTTATATTTTCTTGACACTTAATATATTGTTTATGAGATTTAGTAATATCATGTCTAAAACCATATATTTAAATTCTATGAAATATATATTATATACACCAAATAATATAAGAAATTTAATATAAATGTCAAATTTCAAAAAAGGATAATAAATATCTATACAATAAAATAAAATATTTTTCTTATTTTAGAATAAATATATCTTAAAATAAAAAATATAAATAAGGAAATTGTGGTAAATTAATATCTCTATAAATTAATAAAATTTCAAAGTTTCAACATTATTAATTTATAGAGGTTTAACTGTAACTTGTATTATTTGTAACACTCTATAAAGGGTCCAAATTTAAATGACAACTTGTATTAATAGATAAAAAGAAGTAAGCCTAAAAGCCAAACCATATAATTCGTCCTAAAAACAAAAGTAATCCCAAGACTATATCACATAAATAACCACCGGTTTAATTTAAGTAATGTGGTTCAATTAAATATATAGCTTATATTATTTGTAACACTCTAAAAATAGTACAAAAATGACAACTTGTATTAGTAGATAAAAACAATGACTCTATTTTTAATAGAGTACATGTCCTTTTCGTCACAAAAAAAGACTCTTTGTTTATCGGTATATTTGAATGTATACTAGATGTTGTCTATAATTATATTTTAGTTTTTCTCTATGAAGATCCATATATATATATATATATATATATATATATATATATATATATATATATATACTGTTAATTCTCTGTAATAATTGTTAAATTCTCTGTAATAATTGTTGCCAAACAAATTATTTAATAATAATAAAAATTCATTACGGGAAGCATATTAAGAAAACATAATGGTAAAAGCAAAGGTATGAGGCTTAACATTACATAGACAAAGATGATGTAGCAACGTTGACTTGAGAAGCTGGTTCGGTAGCAACGACGTAGTTCATCTTTTCTACTTCTATGCAGACTTCCTCTTCCTCACATACATGGGGCTGCAGCTGTTCCGGAGATGAGCAGTTCAATTCCAATTCCATCAACACCTGTCTCATGACTGGCCTTTCCCTTGTCATTGGATTCAAACAATTTTTGGCAATCTTTGCTGCCGCCACGATTTTTCCCACCTTAGATTCACCAATGATCTGAGCATCGATGATTTCCATCAGTCTGTTCTCATTCATGGCACGGTTGAAATAGGTTGCAAGCCTTCTGTATTTCGGTGACCGTTTGAAACAAATCGGCAAATCACCAGTAATAAGCTCAGCAAGCACAATGCCATAGCTATAAACGTCGCTTTTCTCCGTGTACTGGTTTGATTGATGATATTCCGGATCTAGATACCTAGGGGTGCCTATCACTATTGTTGTGAGATGGGTTTGGTCTTCAGATACTGATCTGGAGATGCCAAAATCAGCAAGCTTGGCTTTATTGTTATCATCCAGCATAATGTTGGCCGTTTTAATATCCCTATGGAATATTGGAGTCGATGCCGTGGTGTGCAAGTAACAAAGCCACTCAGCTATCTCTTTAGCAATTCGTACACGCACTTCCCAACTAGCCAACGTTTCATCTTCAGGTTCATTATTATGGATGCGATCAAACAAGTTTCCGTTGGAGATGTACTCATAAACGAGAAGAGGAACCTGCATTTCAAGGCAAAACCCAATAAGCTTAACTATGTGTCTTAAATGTGATAGAACGACGAGCTCGTTAATGAACTCCTGAATATGATCTTCGCCCCCTATTTTTGATTTCTTAACCGCCACTTTTTGACCGTCGATAAGCATACCCTTATACCCTGCCTTGGCCACCATGCCCAAGGACCCTAGTTTCGCTAAAGTTTCCGGTTGCTTTGGCTAACTCCTTTGAAGTAAATATTTTTGTTGTCTCCACGCTGCTGTCTCCCGTTGAATTTATTTGTTGCTGCAACACTAAACCTCCGTTGCGCTTGAAAATTTTTGTTCTCGCGCTTGATCCTTATTTTCTTTCTAATAAATATATGTATAATCCATATTAGGATACGATATAGATGTTGTATATCGTATACCTTAAATGTAAATATTCTTGTTTAGATCTTCCTTAACCGGAAAAGAAAATATCGTAGTTGTATATATGTTAAACTTGTGAAGATGAATAAACCAAGCAATTACAAATATTTGATGGTATCAGAGCAAGTCTATACCTTGACTCCTTCGATCCAAAACTGTGCCGCCGTCGTTACACAGTAACCACCGCCGCTTTGCAAAGTCACCATGTCTGGTAAAGAAGTCACCGCCGCCGCTGCTGCAACACAAACAGCCGCCGCCACCGTCAATATGTCGTACTCTCTTCACCCCTCTGACAATTTGGTTCGCTCATATCCTCCGTCGTGTTTAAGGATGATAACTATCCTGAATGGGCTACGGAACTTTGAAACTCGTTACAAGCTAAAAAGAAACTTGGCTTCATCGATGGAACCATACTGAAACCTGCCTCTGATCCCGAATTAAGCATGTGGCTTGCTGCAAATTCAATGATCATAGGCTGGATTTGTACCTCGATTGATCCCAAGATTCGTTCTACTGTCTCTTTTGTCTCAGAAACTTCGGTTCTTTGGGAGAGCCTCTGAGCTCGTTTCTCTGTTGGAAACGGTGTGCACAAGCAAGTATTGAAGGATGAGATCGCTTTGTGTAAACAAAACGGACACTCTGTTTTGGAGTATTATGGACGTTTGTCAAAGCTTTGGGAGGAGTTACAAAATTATCAAACAGGTCGTGTGTGTAGATGTGAAGCCGCTTCAGATATTGCCAAGGAACGTGAAGATGACAAAGTTCATCAGTTTCTGTTTGGGCTCGATCTTCCTAGATTCAGTCATATTCACTCAACTATCACCGGAGAAGATCCTTTGCCGTCGCTGAATCAAGTATATTCTCGCTTGATACGGGAGGAGCAGAACCTAAACATTGCACGCTCTCAAGACACTATCAAACATGATGCTATCGGTTTTGCTGCAAAAGGGGAATCCTCTGTATGTTGCTGCTGTGTCAGGCCCTCGGTTCCGCGATCGGTCGACTCTGAACTGCACACATTGTCGTCGTCAGGGTCATGAAGTTGCTGAGTATTTTGTTCTTCACTGCTACCCAGATTGGTATTACGAACAAAACAGAGGACGTTCATCTACTCCAGATTCTCGAGGAAATACTGACATGAAACCAGTTCAAAGAGGAGGACGCCCTCAACCAACATGTAGTCGTGGTCGTGGAAGAGCAAACAGCGCTCGAGTTCCGCCAGACAACAACAGCGATCAGATTGCTCAATTGATTAGTCTGAACGGTTGTCGGGTAAAACTCTTATTACTGATGTGATCATTGACACAGGTGCTTCACACCATATGACTAGTGACATTGATCTACTACAAGATGTTGTTGATATCCTACCTTCCACTGTTACATTTCCTGATGGATCAGGCTCACGTGCTACTAAGCGCGGGACACTAGCATTGAATTCAGAATACTTACTCCATGAAGTGTTGTTTATTCGGGGATTTGATTGCACTCTTATATCTGTTTTGAAACTCTTGAAGCAGAACTGGATGTATTGCGATATTCACTGATACTTTGTGTTTCTTGCAGGACCGTTTCACAAGGACATTGATTGGTGCGGGTGAGGAGCGTGATGAAGTGTACTATTTTACAGGTGTTACAGCTGCGCGTGTCAACAAAACTTCAAAGGCAGCATCGTTTGGAGCCTTGTGGCATCGTAGATTAGGACATCCTTCTGCTAGTGTTTTGAATTCCTTACCGGAGTGTGATCATTCTTCTAGTGTTGTTGAAGAGATCAAGAATTGTGATATTTTTTTTCATGCTAAACAAACATGAGAAGTTTTTCATGATAGCATTAATAAAACTTCAGATTGTTTTTCACTTGTTCATTGCGACGTATGGGGTCCTTATCGCACTCCTTCTAGGTGGGGTGCTGTTTATTTTCTCACCTTAGTGGATGACTACTCTCTCTCCGTATGGACGTATCTCATGGCCGAGAAATCTGAAGTTGCAAAGTTGATACAAAAATTTTGTGCTATGTCCGAAAAAAATTCGGTAAACCCGTCAGAACAATTCGAAGTGAAAATGGTACAGAATTTATGTGTCTCATGTCTTACTTCCAAGAACATGGGATCTTACATCAGACATCCTGCGTTGACACTCCATAGCAGAATGGGCATGTTGAACGCAAATATCGACACATATCGAATGTGGCTCACACATGTGTTTTTCAAAGCCATCTGCCAGTCAAGTTCTGGGGAGAGAGCATTCTCACAGCCACTCATTTGATAAATCGTACACCGACTTTGGTATTGCAAGGGAAGTCTCCATGCGATATTCTGTTTCAAAAACGAACCTCTTATGCATCGCTTCGTACTTTTGGATGTCTGTGTTATGCTCATCATCGAGCTCGAGATAAGGACAAGTTTGGAAATCGCAGTCGGAAATGTGTTTTTGTGGGATACCCATACGGTAAGAAGGGATTGCGTCTCTATGATCTGGAGAAAGAACAATTTTTTGTTAGCCGTGATGTTCAGTTTCAAGAAGATGTGTTTCCTTTTCATACAATTCCTTTGATTTCTTCTACACTACTGGAGGTTGCTGCTGACGTTGACAATGATTGGCTCTCACCTACGGCTGTTTTAATACCGGAAGTTGCTACTACTGGACCTATTGTTCCTGCTGAAAAAATGGTCACTGCTGAACCAGTTACACCTCCATCGACATTAACTGAGATTGTGGAGGTAACAGAAGTCGTCAATGACGATACTGATATTACTCTTGAGGAACTTCTTGAACCGGCACCAACGATCTCATCTTCTCCAACTTCACCAGAACTGCTTGGAAGAGGCCATCGACAAAAGCAAACTTCAATTCTTCTCAAAGATTTCATCACTAAAAATGTACACTCATCTTCTACTCACGCTCTCTCAACCGCACTCTCCAATTCAAAGTCATCGTCAACGGTCTCTAGTAATACTTTATATCCTCTTACAAAGTATTTCTCTGATGATGGTTTTACAGCAAAACACTTAGCCTATATGACAAAAAATTTGGATAGCAAGGAACCTCGTCATTTCAAAGATGCAATCCTCATCAAAGAATGGTGCGCTGCAATGAAGCTTGAAATTGCAGCACTTGAGGAAAACCACACTTGGGATATTGTTGATTTGCCTCCTGGTAAAACTCCCATAGGAAGTAAATGGGTCTACAAACTCAAGTTTAACGCTGATGATACTTTGGAACAATACAAGGCTCGTCTCATCGTGTTGGGAAATCATCAGAAAGAAGGAATTGATTTTACAGAAACCTTCGCACCGGTTGCTAAGCTAACCACTGTCCGACATCTTCTTGCAGTTGCAGCGGCAAAAGATTGGGAGGTTAATCAAATGGACGTCCACAATTCTTTCCTGCACGGCGATCTCGAAGAGGAAGTATACATAAAACTACCTCCGGGCTTTCAATCTTCTGATCCCAACAAAGTATGTCGTCTTCAGAAATCCTTATATGGTCTCAAACAAGCCCCAAGGTGTTGGTTTTCTAAACTATCTACAGCCCTTAAGCAGTTTGGTTTTAAGCAAAGTAACCCGGATTACTCATTGTTCTCACTTATTCAAGGCACCACAATACTTCATATATTGGTTTATGTTGACGATTTTGTGATTGCTGGGAACGACTTGGCTGCTATCGAAAAATTTAAGGAATATCTGCACACATGTTTCCACATGAAAGATCTCGGAAAGTTGAAGTATTTTCTTGGCATAGAAGTATCACGTGGACCTGACGGAATCTGTCTCTTGCAACGCAAATATACCTTAGATATAGTTGCTGAAGCAGGCCTTTTGGGTGCAAAACCGTCTGCAGTTCCAGTTGAAGTTAATCACAAACTTGCTTCTAACAAAGGTTCGGAACTTAAACATCCAGAGAAGTATCGACGGCTAGTCGGCATAGATTAGCAAGTCGGCATAGATTAGCATAGATTAGAATAGATGAGCATAGATTAACATGGATTAGCATAGATTAGCATGGATTAGCATAGATTAGCATAGATCAGCATAGATTAGCATGGATTAGCATGGATTAGCATAGATGAGCATAAATTTAGTGTGTATATAGTCTATCTGCTGTATATGGTATGCATAGATTAGCATAGATGAGCATAGATTAGCATCGATTAACAGTTAACTTATCTTCTAGGTTTTGTTTGATTTTGTTATGATTTGTGTTAACGTTTTGAATTGTCTTCCAATTATAAAAAATAATTTAAGACGATTGTTTTTTTGTTTTCTGTAACTAATTTCCCTGTAAGGTATTTTATCATCATTCTTTACTCTGAAGATGTTTTGTGTCAAAAAAGTTTTAAAACTAATAAAATAAAAGGTTGAAAATACGTGATTTTATCTTCTTGTTGGTTTCTTAGTTGGATTCTTTCAATAATATTCAAAGACGTTAGGAAAAGAACTTATCCGTGATGCTTCGCTGTGTTTTTTTTTTTTACTTGGTTTGTTGCCAATTTGTCATCATCAAGCATATCTTATGATCATTCCTAGCGCTACCAGTATTATCAACGTAACTATATATCTATTTCCAGAATTAGAATATCTATTACAGATATAGAAATATTTATATTTAGTTGTTAGAGAATCACAAGTTCGATTTCTCTTCGCACTATATTGTAAGACTATCAATTTCTAACTAATATACTTATATACTTGTACATACCCAGGAGCAGGAAGCATTTTAAGATGCATTAATATAACAAGTGACTCCCAAAAAATATATATTTTGTCAAG